TTCTCTTCATTGTTAGCAGCTGTTACTGTTTTAGGGCTAGGGGCATTGTTTCTGTTGTTTGTTCTGTTGTTCTCTCAAAGGGTATCAAGCCATTCGCCTTAGACCTTGCGAGAGCTGCCACATCACCCTAAGCTGTGCTTTTATCAACAGAGACCGCCGTCCTAATTAATTAGCTTGATAACGTGAAAATGATATATTCCACTTACCTCGCGTCATGTCGACAACTGGATGTTACCAGCTCGATACCTCATGTTTTATTATCAGCAGGTTTCAATACAATAAGATACGATACGATTCGATACATTACCAGTTTATTGCGTAATACACTTAGCTATTCAGGTGTGAAATCACCTGATAAAATGACACACCAGCTTATTCATTTCCATTTGGAATCCATTTGTTATCACCTTATTTTACAACTTTTCGAGAATTTATTTAAGTGAAACAGGGAGAAAAAGAATCCAGAAGAAGGGCATTGCCTGCTCCTGTTTTTAAATTTCAAAGTAAATTGAAAACAAAGCCGTACTCTCTTAAGGACGTTCGCGCTAATTGTTTCTGTACATCCTTAATGCGCACGTAAATTCACACGCCACGTCAGTAAAATGAACAATGATAGGGCAGATGGCCATTGCTATAGCTTTGCTTGGATTTAACGATCTTGGACGTTCTGTGACACCTACTTTTCTTTCCAGAAACGGATTTTATTTACACTTCTCACCACATTGTCGAAAAATGAACGAAAAAATCAATGTGGGAAGTTAAAAAAATTCAAGATTTCTGTCCCCAAGACATCGAATCCTGCCATCTTGCGGTGTAAGACGCGTAAAACTATGGTCACTAAATGCGAACTTGTTCTTTAAGGAACCTCACCAGTTAACTAAATTCGCTTAATAAGTCCACTTAAACACTATTTGGCAGAGAGCATTTCACTTCAAAGATCTAATTACGATATTTTTGGGCTTACAGACACTGTGGCCTTATTCGCTAACGAAGCCCGATTTTTTCAGGGTTAGGGTATTCTTCCGGGCCTGTTCTCTCCAAAACGAAGTTGGTGACCCTAAACTTTTTTTTGACATTTCTGATATTACTAACTCGTCATCTTACAGTGGTAAAAGTCTCAGAAAAAAATCAATGTTGGAAACTTTTCGCGCGAAAGTACTTAATTAGAAATCAAATAAATAAATAAATAAATAAATAATAATAATAACAATAATAAAATACGAAAAAAAAAAAAAAAATCCGGGCGTGAAAATTGACGGTTTTTAGAAGGTTTTCGGATTTATATTATATAAAGTCAAGCCTAACAATGTTTGCGCTGAAAATCTTCGCACATCACATTTTGTTAAAACGCTTTCTTCACTTAGACAAAGTTTCCAAATTTAAATTACACAATTTGGAGTCCTGCAATCTGCATAATAATATGTCGTGGGAAATATCATTAATAGAGAGTTTAAGTGACCACGATGGCGACGCCGAGGACAGCTTGATTAAAAAAATGGCTTTATATTTTACCTACGAATCTCGCGATACTCTAAAGTTATTTACTTTGTTTATCACTGTCAAAACTTTTACGACACTGTATCTGGGACACAGCAATAAACTAGAAATAAGAATTTACAAAATTAGCTGTCGGGGTTCACGTTCTCCAGGCAAGGCAGAATTTGGTCATTTACGTTGTTGTTTTGCCGAGTACGGTAAAAAAAAAAAATGTACCAAGGATTATAACGCACGTGCACAGCCATTGTTCTCCTCATTAAATCTTTTGTTTAGTGAAGTTCCCGTTGCTGTTGCTGTCGTGGTTTTCTTAAACTCCCTAATGCCGCCGTCGCCGTTCCCGTGTTGATCCTTTCAGCGTTTTGGTTCTTGCTGTTACCATGGTAACAGTTTTCTTTAAGTGGAAGTTGCTCTTGATGCAATTCTTACAGTGTTTTCATGATGCATGAAAAACTTTTAAGAATGACAATTTGGGACAAACGAATATATTTTTTTTCGTTATAAAGAGATATGTAGGAGTAAATACTCTTCAACCGTTATAAACGGAAGTTTTAAGAAAGACAAAAAAAAAAAAGTAAGAAATAGCAGGACACGTAGATAAAGAAACGTATCTCGAAAAAATAACGTTTTATACTGTTGCTTTAATATTAGGTGTAAATGAAGGTACCGGTTGCCGAGAGGGAAGCACCTCCTATGATGAATGCGGGCAAAGATGCATCTGTGTTGGGGGCCAGTTGCAAAACTGCGTTCGAATTAGGAAGGAATTCANTTAGACAAAGTTTCCAAATTTAAATTACACAATTTGGAGTCCTGCAATCTGCATAATAATATGTCGTGGGCATTGCCATTAATAGGGAGTTTACGTAACCACGACGGCGACGCCGACGACAACTCGATTAAAAAATGGCTTTATATTTTACCTACGAATCTCGCGATACTCTAAAGTTATTTACTTTGTTTATCCCTGTCAAAACTTTTACGACACTGAATCTGGGTCACAGCAATAAACTAGAAATAAAAATTTACAAAATTAGCCGTCGTGGTTCACGTTCTCCAGGCAAGGCAGAATTTGGTCATTTCACGTTGTTGTTTTGCCGAGGACGGTAAAAAAATGTACCAAGGATTATAACGCACGTGCACAGCCATTGTTCTCCTCATTAAATCTTTTGTTTAGCGAAGTTCCCGTTGCCGTTGCTGTCGTGGTTTTCTTAAACTCCCTAATGCCGCCGTCGCCGTTCCCGTGTTGATCCTTTCAGCGTTTTGGTTCTTGCTGTTACCATGGTAACAGTTTTCTTTAAGTGGAAGTTGCTCTTGATGCAATTCTTACAGTGTTTTCATGATGCATGAAAAACTTTTAAGAATGACAATTTGGGACAAACGAATATATTTTTTTTCGTTATAAAGAGATATGTAGGAGTAAATACTCTTCAACCGTTATAAACGGAAGTTTTAAGAAAGACAAAAAAAAAAAAGTAAGAAATAGCAGGACACGTAGATAAAGAAACGTATCTCGAAAAAATAACGTTTTATACTGTTGCTTTAATATTAGGTGTAAATGAAGGTACCGGTTGCCGAGAGGGAAGCACCTCCTATGATGAATGCGGGCAAAGATGCATAAAAAAAAAAAAAAAATATATATATATATATATATATATATATATATATATATATATATATATTTATATATATAGCATTGAATTTATTTATTCCGCTATTCTGCGAATTAAGCTGTTTGTCTTTGTTTGCTCCAGGTTTGAGTCCTAGCCAACTGCGTCTCTCTCCGCGCCGACCTTTCACTGGCCTCAGTCAACAAGCTATCCGACTGTTCAAGATATCAGCAGCTGACGTAAAGGAGATCAGAGTGCTTGAGAAATGGCTTAATCCCAATGTGATTGAACCTAAAAATTAACACTGATTGTTTGCTGCCCTAATGATCGTAGCTCTTGTGTGCAAAGAAGTCATCCTTTGTCAGATCTCATCGCTTAGCATAACTCGTGCCAATACCTCCCATTAGCTTTACCTCAAGCCGTGATTACCTCGTTACTAAAGCGATCTTGAAAAAGTTTCATCAAAGCGAAGAAAATTAGTTAATTTCAATAACAAAGCACCGTTTCAAGTAGAACATTACATAATAAGTCAAATTATTCGCCCCGTTTGATCGGTTCTAACTTGTGATCACTTGGAAGACGTTTTGTGACCTTGTTATATTTAACATGAGACTACGTCCCTGAATTTTCTATGAACGAATTTGTCAACGAGGTGTCGCTTAGCCGAGTTATCTATCTCTCATAGGAAACGATTACGAGTTAATTATTGTCTAGTTTAGTCAATAGACACTCTAAAGCTTAGAACGTACAAATTTGTGTATTTTTACACCAAAACTTAAGAATAATTTTCATATTCAAGAGCAATGCAGTATGGTAATATGGCAACATGGCAACATCTATTTGATAATCTAAAAATTAGAGCAACACTTCTGAAATCGTGAGATCCCTCCCATTGGTAGATTCCTGGTTGTGAAAAAATATGAGAGGGGGAGGAAGAGTCAGAGTAGTTCTTTGTGATGCTCGTCTTATGGTTTATTTTCCAATTTGAGGAGTCATGAAATATGCGCACAATGAAATATGAAACGCATTTGGTACCTCTGTGACAATGTCGCAAAACGTTAAAATTACACAATCTTTTTAACACCCCTTTCACCTTTCTCTACCTTGATTGCAAAGTCGTTAATAGTATTTTGAACAAGCTAGGGATTTAAAATATAACGGATTGAAACTAACGGACAAATGGGAACTGCTCAAAGGATGTCTTGCTTGTATACTACACATTATGTGTGTAAGTTTGAAACTAATGATCGAGCTGTGGTTGATTAGAATTTAGATTTAGAAACCGTTGTTACTGATAATTAATTGGCATTTAGAACCCAGCCAGAACAGAACATTTTTGGCATGGCGAAAGTTTTATGTCTAAGCCGCAGTTGATTAAGTTTTGCGTGTGAGTTGCAGTTGACTAGAACATTTTGTAAAGGTGAAGGTTTTATGTCTGAGCTGTAGCTTAGTAGAAGTTGTAGTTTAATAAGCTGCTTTCACTTATAACTCGTTATTAGAATTCAGTTACCACAAAACAATTTGTCACGATGATTGTTATATGTCTGAGCTCGGGTAGCATTTTTTCGCTTCATAGTAAATCGTGTAAGGTTTGCCAGCTGGGGTTTTCGGTCATTTCTTGCAAGTCTCAATTATTGATTAATTGTTGCTCAACAAAACGGTAGAGAATTGTTTGAACAAATGTTATGGATTGCTAATGGGTTAGATTTAAAAATTAAAATGTGGGGTAAAATGTTTTAATCCAATTCTTATTTTGTGTATCTTGAGTTTAATAGCACCTCTCAATATTAGCAATCATTTTCTTATCCTTATCCTTGTCCTTGTCCTTGTCCTTGTCCTTGTCCTTGTCCTTGTCCTTGTCCTTGTCCTTGTCCTTGT